AGCTCTGGAAGCTAAGCTATTCAAGGTCACTGTGCTATCAGTGTTTGGTTCTTGTGGGGGCTGTTTTCCTAGCTTGCAGATGGTGCCTCCATACTGTTCCCTCTCATGACTTTTCCTCTGTGTACACAGTGGTATCCAAGACACAGTGCTATTGAATGAAGGCTTCACCCTTACCACCTCAGTTAACCTTTACCTTCTTATAGGACTTATTTCCAAATACAGTCATATTTGGAATTAGGGCTTCCATACATGAATTGGAGAATTTTTCAATCTATAACTTTTTTAGCCTATAAATTATTGATTGGCCATGTTAGTTGGTGAATAGTGAAATCTTTATTGATTGATGGAATGAATGAATGAATGAATGAATGAATGAATGAATGAAATTGTTCTTTTTGGAACCCTGTAGCCCCAGCTGACCTGGAGCTTGTTCTGTAAACCAGGCTGGCTCACAGAGCTCTACCTGCCTCTCAAGTGCTATGAATGAATTATTTTTGTTTGGGGTTCAGTTGGTAGGATGAGAGAATGAACTTCAACACAGCAGTAAGTTGCTCTTTGACCTCCCAGAAGATACCTGAACCTCAAAGGCTCCTATTGATTCAACTTGTAGGTTACTTTCTCTCCTGTGTCTTTGCTGGAGGTCAGTTGATTCGCATAAGGTACTGATGAGGACATAAGGTATAGGTTTCACCTCATGTGGACAGATAGCTGTTCCACAGCTACAGCCTGTGGGTCCTGTGACTTCCCTACTTAGGAACAATTTAGAATAACCCAGACACCAACAATGCAAAAAGACAGAGATCGGGAGTTCCGTATTCCATCACTAAATTATGCCACTAACATTAAAATAACAACAACCCAAATACTCAGGACATGCTGAATCAGAATGTCTGTTTTTACTGCAAAGTTCTTATTCTAAAAATGGAAAGATTTGACTTTATTTCAGTCTCATAGACTTTTAAATTGTGCAGTGTATATTTCTTAGGAAATTTTACTTTTAAAAGAGAAATAAAATCACCTCTAAAATTGCTTGACATTGTAATGAATGTGTTTCTAATCTTCCTTTTCATATAGTTATGTATTTGGGACTTTATGATAAATATTTTTCATTGATTCAAAATGATAAAAATAATTTTAAGGATGTATGCAACACTCCATTTGGAAGATGTGCATGTATAACATGCATGCATGCAGTATGTATCTGAGTATCTGATGTATTTCACCTAGATTCAACTTGGAGAAAGTATCTTTTCTTGAGGGGGGCGATTCTTTTTGAGACAGGGTCTCCTTGTAGCCCCAGCTGACCTGGAACTCACTATGTAGACCAGGCTGGCCTTGAACTCACAGAGATCCACCTGCCTCTGCCTCCAGAGTTCTGGGATTAAAGGCGTGCCCCACCGCACTGGCAAAAGTATCTTTTTCTTACCAGGACACATACTAAAAAAGGAACACGTAAGTCAACATTCATGCTACTTTTTAGACAGCAAATCAACTTGTTCGTTGATATAAATATTGAATAGTTCACACCTGGTTAGTTTTCCTTTTTTCCTCTTTCCATTCAGTGAGAATAGACTGATGGCACAGACAACAAAGAACACCAATAGCCCACCTCAGAGTCTTTCTTTCAGCATTACCCCACCACACTCACACACACCACCACCACCACCAGGGCTGGACCCCCCTGTGCATGGCGTGGGCCAGCCTGCTTCAGGGCCTTCTCAACTTTGTTTCATGCTATTAGCAATTTCATTCTTAGTCCCCAGAGCTGCGAGTGTGAATTTTCTAACAAATTACATCTTCCCATTATAATTGGTTCCAATTTCATAGCCTCACTTTTAAAAAAAAATGAATATTGGTTAGACGTACACCACACACACACACACACACACACACACACACACACACACACACACCAGGCACGCAGGCACACTGCATGCATGCACGTACCTTCTCAATGACAGCTGCACATCGCTTTTCCACTTTGCTCTCCTACAATACAGTAATGCCAGCCCCCGATTGTGACAAGATTGAGGTTATTTAGGGAGTGGAAAGTGAGAATAACCTAGGCTAGGTAAGGCATAAAGAAACCACATTTTATTAAGTGCTGACCATGACATAGAAAATACTGAACTAAATGCTCTATTTTATTATTTATCATCCTAGTCCATGAGGCAAGAATTACATTCGTAAAATACAAAAATTGAGGGCAAGTGTAAGGAACAAAACTATTTCTTTTGTATAGACCACATACTGTTTTCTGAGCTAGTGATAGTGTATCAATGATTTTAGTTAATCATTTTTTTGGTTCTTTTGCAATGGGGTGTTCCTGTAACCCCAGCAGGCCTGGAACTCACCACATAGACCAGGCTGGCCTAGATTTCACAGAGCTCTGACTGCCTCTGCCTCCTGAGTGTGGGGACTAAAGGCATGTACAAGCATGTCTCACTTAATTTCAGTTAATCTTCACAACACTACCTTTTGAAGTAATGAATCTTGAAAATTTTAACACATGGCATGTAGAATGAGGGGCTCATCTGCAGTATACTATGCTCCCAGGCCTTTGTCCCTGTTCAGTTCAACATGGACCCTGCCGTTTGTGCTCAGTTCATACAGATTTTCATACTCTAAAACGGAAGACGTAAATACATGTCTTAGAGCAACTGAAATCAAAACAACTTTAGGTATAAAAACACCTTGAAAATTTATGTGTGGTACCAACTGGTTTGTAATCCCAAAGCTTGAGTCAGATAGAGGTAAAGAGGATCCCTGGGGTCCACAGGCCAGCCATTCTAACCTAATTGGTGAATTCAGGGCCAGTGAGATTCCCTGTCTCAAAAATAAAAAGGTTGGGCCAGTAAGATGGCTCAGTGGGTAAAGGTGCTTGCTGCCAAGCCTCATGATCTGAGTTCAATCCCCAAGTCCCCCATGGTGGAAGGCAAGAACTGACTCTCTAGTTGTCTTTTGACACTTCCACACAGGTGCCCCACTGTGTGTATCACACACACACACAAAATAATAAATAAATAATAAATAAATGTAAAAATATTTTAAAGTTGACAGTATCTGAGTAACACCCAGAGGCCATGCTGTGGCCTGTACCCAAACCAGTACACACATGTGCACTCATACATACACATACACACCACCACCTTCTGCAACTAAAAACAATGTACTTTCTTGCCTCTCTTAGATGGTTATATCTATCCATGTTCTCAAAGTGTTTTTCCTGATAAATTTTTACCTAGTCCTCAATCTCTTTAAGTCCCTCATCAGGCTTTAGGGAAATGCTCTCTTTTCCTTAGTGTCCCTTGAGTGTGACTTCTCATCAGCTTCACATTCACTTAGGCTCACTTCTCATTGCAAAATGGCCTCCTCCAGCCAGCGCAAACAGGGCTCAATTGCTCCATGTTAAACTCCTGAGTGTGGATACTCGCTGCATCCCCTTTAATACTGTGCTAGACTGTATCTTCAATGAAATTCATCTCATAATTTTAACAAAACTCATTTACAGTCAAAAAGCTTTCAACTAATCTCCAAGTTGGCTTGGCAAACCATCCCTCCCACCAAACTCCAACTTTCTTAATAAGTTACAGAAGTTTATTAACAGGTTCCACCAGATACCATACGTTTTCTGCTTGTTCTCTAATAATTCAGTTTCCAAGAGAAAAAAAATAAGCTTTTCAGATTTCCTTAAGCATATTTTTAATTCTATAGGTAACAAACTCTTTGCCTGAAACAATAATTCTCTCATCCACCATGTAGGTAGGCACCTGACATTTCTTTAGCAAACGATAAAGTGCTGCTTTCTGTATTAAAAGATAAGGAAGAAAATGCAAATACCCTGGAGAGAAATAATGATAAAATTACACTAGTGCTGCTGCGAAAATGATTGATACGAGAGTCACTCTCAAGGGGAGGCTCAAATGTCAAGCAGGAAGAGCGTGTGTCAAGGGGACGGGGAGAAGTAGGAGCCAGTGCCTGCCCAGAAGGTGGTACACAGAGGACTTTGATTCTTCACATTTTAAGTCTGGCCTTCCAGGAAGGTTTTTGTTTTTTGTTTTTTAACCATAGACGTCTCATTTTATACCCAGGAATTTCTAAAATGAGTTTGAAAATCTTGTGTGGTTAAAAAAAATATCTGTTTTGTCTTTTTGGTTGTGAGCCTGAGCCTTTGTGGCACACACCTTTAATCCCAGCACTCGGGAGGCAGAAGCAGGCAGATCTCTGTGAGTTCAAGGCCAGCCTGGTCTACATAGTGAGTTCCAGGACAGCTGGGGCTACAGGGAGACACTGTCTCAAAAAGACCAAAGAAAAAATATATATCTGTTTTGAAAATCCCATAAAGACCCACTAACAGGCAACCCTCTACTATTGCATAGGAAGTCTAACATGTCCAGTTCTTTCTCCAACTTTGGAAGCTAAACAGATTGATGCTTCCTCAATGGAGTCCCAAGTTTTATTTGCTTGTCTTTAGGGCCTATCTGTATCACAACACAAATACCCAGAAGTACATTCATTCTGTACTGCCTGAACCTCCCGGCTATGAGATATGGGGAACTGGGTCTCATACTCATTCAAGACAAGAGATTCTTTTTCCCATCGTGTGCTCAAGTGGGAACAGGGACATGCATAGAGTGGAATGGAAGTGGAGAGAAGTTTAGACAGAATTAAAATATTTTTTTCTTTATTTTTGACATGTTGATCATAGTTGAATTTGCAAAAGTTATAGTCATACTGTTCAAATCCTCTGCATATTTAACCAAATACACAGTTCTTTTAACTTCACATTGCCATTGGAGAGAAGATGGTAGAGGACTGTTGCTGGTGAAGAGTAGTAGGCATCTTTGATATGAGAACACAAGCAAAGAGCACCAGCTTGAGGCTTTTACTCGATGATGTGGCAGGTGGATAAAATAGTCCATTTTGATGCTGATAGCTGTCTCTTCCCCTCCCCTCCCGTCTCTTCTCTTGTCCTTCCTCTCCTTTCTTTCTCTTTCCAGGCTGGTCCATTCTGGTCCAGGGAAAGGATCACCGCAGGCTGCTATGGATTTGTCCTTTACAACACGAACTGGTACCAAGCAAGGAATTGAAACACATCTCTTCAGAGCGGAGATCAGCAGGGACCTCTCCCACTGGACAAGGAGCATAGTACAGGGATGCCACAACTCGGCTGAGCTCATTACTGAAATCACCACTGGTGAGTACAGCTACCCGTGAGTCATCAGTGTCACACTGATACACTAATAGAGGAAAGACAGACCCTCTGCTCTACTCCCCTCAAAGCAGTTTCTAGTACTGGTCCTTCGAGGTACTTAGAAGTGTAGAGGTAAGCTTAAATTCTTCTCAACTTAAGCATTGGCTGTCCTCCTAAAACATAACTACAGGTTCTTGTTGTGCATTACCTCATTCCATCCTCATTTAAGAAAAGCTGGTGATTTGAATAGTCACCATTCTTCTCCTTGTAACTGCTGGGTGGCCTCCTGGAGGAAGGGAATTATGAAGCATAAAATACTAGGGTTCTTGGTTATAAACAATAGGAACGGAATCTGAGTAATTTCTCATAGAATAATATTGGCAGTTTATTAGGTAGCTCATAGCACTGAACTGAAAGAAACTAGAGGCCTGGAACAACAGCCATCTGAATAGAGGGAAGCAGAGTGAAAAGAAAGTTCCAGAACTCTAGCAGAGCCCTAATCCTGGCATGAGTGGAGAGGGTGAGACAAGTTGAAAGGAGCGTGGAATGAGTATAGTCCCCTGTCAAGGAGCACCCCCAAAATGACTAAAAAGTGATGTGTGTGGAGGGAGGGACCCTTCTGTTCTATCCCATTTACTGAGTACTTACTATATGCCAGGTATTTTACATAGTGTCTTTTTCATACAGTAAGAGATAGCCTTCTGTGTGTCCTGAATCAATCAATTAAAATAAGGTCAACATTTAAAAAATGAAAGAAAGTGGAATAGAGATATTAGTGTAAATATTGTTTTATTTGGAAGAATTTTCGATTCGTGTGTGTGTGCATGTGTATGCATTGTGTGTATGTATGCATGTGGTGTGCATGTATATATGTGCACATGTGTGCACATTTGTGAATGCATGTGCGTATATAATATACAGCATAAAATCTTGTGCATTAGTTAACATAGACTCCATATTTAACCCAATATTCTTCTTATACAGAATGTACACGATATACTATATACACCCAATGGTGTCTGTGATGCTATTGTTTCCAATCCTGAGACCTAAGGCAGACAGTTTCTAGTTCTGAAATCTCTGGCCAACCTTGGCCAGTCTTCTGTGGACCCTCAATTTCAGGGCATCCTGTGACAATCATTCATTTTTTCAACAAGTCTCCCAGAAGCTCAGAGTTTCTTACACTTGCATCTTGTAATGTTCTCTGTTCAACCTCTTCACGTTTTCTTACATGTTGTTCCATGGCCTGAGGAAGCAGTAGAAGCTTATAGTCACAAAAAGTGGTTTGGAGTGTAGATAGCCCTGGATTCAAATTCCGGCTCTATTTATTTCTTTTACTTTTTAAGCGTGTATTTATTCATTTATGTGTATGTGTGTGAGTCTGAGTATATGAGTGTGCATCACATGCATGCAAGGCCAAAGGAGGCCAGAAGACAGCACTGGATCCCCTGGAATTGGAGTTCTAGGTGGCTGTGAGCTGCCTGATGTGGGTGCTGGGAACTGAACACAGATCCTCTGCAACAGCAGCAAGTGTTCCTAACCACTGATCCATCTCTCCAGCCCCTCTGTTGCTTCTTAATCATTTACTTCACCTCTTAGTTTCTTCACTTGAGAAAACAGGGAAAACATAATACCCACCTCAAACGTATACCAGGAATAATGAGACCCACCTCCTGGGGTCTTAGCAGTAAGAATTATTAGTTGCTGCTATTCTTGTAATTATTATCTCCAGACCCGCAATGTTCAATATAATAGCTTCTGTGAGGCTAACTAAAATTAATTAAAGCTTAATCATTTCCTTATTTGTGCTGGCCATGTTTGAGTGCACCAGTGCTGCAGAGCTACTCTCTTGAAGAGTGTCAATCTATAATATGAACATCGTGATAGGAAATGTTACTGTGCAGCTCTAGAAGATGAAGATGCCTCACAAAGCAGCTAGACATGATGCATCCGAGATTTCCCTGCACTGATAACAGCAATAATTTTATACTCAGAAGCTTCAGATGGCTGATCTTTCCCTACCTCCAGAGATTCAGATTCAGCGCTGGGGAGTGGGGCATGATGCTACTGATCCATAAGCCACTCTGTGAGGAATGCTATAGTAGGGTACCACTTTTCAGATACCCAGGAGTACTCTAAAAGATGAAACATATAGTAGCATATGATGTGGTAAAATTTCTCCAAATTTTCTCTGTATATGTTGTAGAATTTCTGCTGCAGTATATACAAGATAATCAGTATCTTTCACTTAATTTTTATTTTATTTTACTTTTTAGATAGTATGCCTCAAACTCATGATTCTCTAGAGTGCTGGAATTAGAGGCATACCACTCTGCCTAGCTTAATCAGTGCCTTTTAATGATTATCTTAAAACTAATTTATGTTTCCCATCATTACTGAAAAACCTCCTGGGAGAGTTCCTGAAGGTTGGACTTTTGATGCTGATGGTATTTGGCAAGGAAAATGGGTTGTGAATCTGAGAGTTAGAAAAAGGTTCAAACCACCCCAATACTAAGTTTAATAGAGTTATATGTGTAATGCCAGTAAAAGTCAAACATCATGTAACAATTTTGGGAAAGAATGAAGGTATCCAAAGGGCTTAGATTTAGTTCACACTCTACTAAGTATGTAAACTCTATCTCCCTCAATAGGAAAGTGATGAGGCTGTTGACAGCCTAGCCAAAAAAGAGTAAAGAGAAGTGTGTAAACTGAGCTGGCAGGTTGGTAACAGGAGGAATGATGCAAAGTACCAGAGGTGCAACCCAGTTGCGATTTGAAAGCTGCCTACAGAGAGTCGGGAAAAGGACTTCTGTTTTCAACAGAGCTTCATTTAATGTGGTCCCATGTTCAATTTATCCCATGTAGACTGAAAACATCTTTAAATAACTGGTTCTACTCAATAAAGGCCACAAATTCCATCTGAGGTCTACTAGAATTAAAGGGGGGTCACAGCTAGTCAGAGAAACTGATGGCAGAGCTTTATGGTTCAGATGTGGAAAAAGGATGAAAAACCACTCTCAGAGCTTATTCACATATTCTGCAGGTGGTAGAAGTGAAGATGCTCAAAAAGGACTCAAAATGGGGAGCCATCACTACTTCTATACCACTGTCCTTGATTGTCCTTGGACAGAAGGGGTGGCAGAGGGCTGAGCCCAGGGGTTCTGCTCAGAAGCACCCAGACCTAGCCAAGAAAACCTTTGGAAAAGTTCAACCCTTAGTACAAGTTGAAAGATGCTTACAGTAAGTCAGGAAAGGGGCATATGTTTTCATCAGAGCTCTAGTTTAAAAGGTACCTCTTCTGTGGCCAATAGAGACCCCATTTCTTCCCCCAAAGTCTGAAGGTCTCCCCCAGCCAACTGCTATTTGCGAGAGAGGAAAGCTGAGGAACTCTTTGCCGAGGTCCTGCTCCAAATCCCTCCACATCCAAGGGCCAGAACATGAGAAAGTAACATGAAACAGAGGAGAAAGGACGTGAATTTCAGAGCTGAAGTTGCTGGGGATGTGACATGCTCACCTCTCCAAGCTTTGCTTTTTTTCAAAACCTGTACTATTGGTGAACTACCCTGCTTCTGATACAGCCTGTGGTAAAGCTCTGTTTGGTGTATTTGGAAAGCAGGACAGAGCTAATGGTGGTACAGGGAAATCTCTCAATCAGTAATGCCTTCACTCTTGCTGCTCCATCCGTCAAAAAATGTTCTGGTTCCCTTAAGACATTAATTAGGCGTAGATCAAGTCCCATGCCGATGACCCGCCAAGGTCTCTATGAAATACACTGTTTTATGAGGCAACATAAATCCAATCTGATAATTGATAAGCTTTCCAGCAGTCTTTGATGAAATGTTTGAAAGGATGCATTCATAGCTCTTCCTAAATGGGAGTTAGAGTGCTGGTGACCACCCCCCTCCCTGTCCAGCTAATAGGCTTAAGGAGCTGAACCCTTCTTAAACACAGTGAGGCTTCCAGATAAACACTGGCACCCAACATGCTTAAGAGGTTTATTCATTTGCTCCTCTGGATTGGAAGTGCTCTGTGCATGCCACCCCCAAAGCTCCTGGATATTTCCCTGTGTCAGAGGATAGAGCCACATTCTTCATGAAAAGTACCATGCCAGAAATCCAGGAGCATTTCATGGGCCCAAGATCGTCCTGGAAATTAAAAGAACAGCTTTTCAATTCCTAAAAGGAGCTTTGATGGGCCTTTTGTAGAAGAAATGTTAGATTGTTTCTAATCTACTCACTTCTAACCTCTTAAGGCTGTTGTGTTTGTTAACTTTGGTAGCGTAATAGGAGAGTGCTTGCCCCTTTCGCCTTGTAGCTTACACCACAGTTTGTGTGTGTGTGTGTGTGTGTGTGTGTGTGTGTGTGTGTGCATGAAGATGATGATGGTGATGGTGATAATGATGATAATTCAGAGATGGTTTACTTTTTAAAATATCTGTTGTTTCTGACTGAAAGTAAGGCCCATCTAGTGATTGGAAGAGGGGCACACGTACCTGTCTAGATATTGTCAGAAGGCTGGCTAAGAGCTGGAGCCCAGAAAGCAGTCAGTGGATCCCAGTTGGAGTTGATTACATGGAGGAGGGGAGTTAAATTACAACATCAAAATCAATCCCCAAAGAATATTTGTGTGAACAATTAGAATTTGCTTTTTGTTGTTGTTGATTTTATTTATTTTTATTTTATGTGTATGCATGTATTGCCTGCATGTAGGTAAGTGCACCCATGTCATGCAATGCCTGTGGAGGACAGAAGAGGCTGTCGGGTCCCCTGGCACTGGAGTTATGGACAGTTGTTAGCAGCCATGTGGATGCTGGGATTCGAACCTGGGTCTTCTGCAAGAACAGCCAGTGTTCTTAACTGCTGAGCCATCTCTCCAGCCCCCTAGAGCTTTGTTTTTTGTTGTTGCTTTTCTTACTTTAATAAGAAATGTGTGCTTGTTACTGAGATTGAAGACAGTGAAGCTATTAGGTACCTACATAATGGATTATGAACAGATGGATTGATATTCTCTCTCTGTCTGTCTCTCTCTCGCTCTCTCCCTTCTTTCCTCCCTCCCTCTCAGCTTGCACCTACAGAAACCAGGAATGTCGCTTGACCATACATTATGACAATGGATTTTCTATTTCCACTGAGCCACAGGAGGGTGCCTTTCCTAAGACCATCATACAGTCCCCTTATGAGAAGCTCAAAATGTCTTCAGATGACGGAATTAGGATGCTCTATCTAGATTTTGGAGGCAAAGAAGGAGAGATTGTAAGTACGCTTTTCTTTTGATAATGTGACTTCACTGTGCAGCACACCTATAATGACTGGGAAGCATAAGGTTGTCTTACTATTATTATCATTCGACTGATAATAAAGTAGCCAGCCTCGGGCTCATATTTTATTTGTTCCTTGAAAAACAGCAATTGGATTCAATTATTTCAAATGGATTCAATTGTTTCAAAACTTTTCCCTTTTCTTTCATTTTTCATTAGAAAACTACATAAATATTTGAATCTAGGGAAAGAATCCTTTATAAGGTTTGAATTAAATTCTTATCAAAAAGGATCTCAGCTTCTTAAAATATGAACCATCATTTTAAAGATGTACTAAGTATCCAGACTGGCATTGCACCAGGTGGTAGGGATGAAGGCAGGAACTTAAAACAAGCACCACTTATCACCAAGGAGGTCTCAGAGGAGAAGAGAGGACAAGAGCAAAGTGTTAGGAGGCATCAGGCAAGGGGCAGAGAAGAAATGGCCACCAGAAAACAACAAAGTGGTAGCCTTTATCAGAGGAGAGAGGGACAGATAACAGCACAGGAGTTTGGAGCTAATGTCAAACAATAGCCATCACGTTAGCCAATGTGCTGGTCACGGTAATATACATCTCACAGCAATGCAAATAGACCTTGTGTTTAAATTCATAATTTCCATGGGGCTGGAGAGATGGCTCAGTGGTTAAGAGCACTGACTGCTCTTGCAGAAGACCCAAGTTCCATACTCACACCCACATGGCGGCTACTAGCCGCCCTTAACCCCAGTTCCAGGGGAATTCAAAGCCCTCTTCTGATCTCCACAGCATTGCATGGCACGGGTGCACTCACATACATGCAGGCAATACACTCATATACGTAA